TTTTGACTCAATATTTTTAAGTATCTTAAAATTAATTATTTTAAAATAATTTTAATATTATAGTATTTATAGTAATTTAATATATTTAAAAAATTAATTTTGATGATACTCTTATGATCAACAAAATTTCTTTATTGTAGTTGGAGTGTGCTTCCGAAATTAATAGTTAATGTTTATAATTTCTTATAATCTCGATCTTAAAATAATGGACTGCCAATAAATAGGCTTCTTGAAATATGTTCTGGTTGCACTTTGGGATTAATTATGTAAACGTTAAACAAAACGTAATTAATCCGGCACATTTTGTTAAAAAATAATTTTTTTAAATAATTGCTATTTTTTAATTTTATTTTTATTTTAAATATTTTTTATTTTTTAAAATAAATAAATATTTTTATTAATTTAATTTTATCATTATTAATTTATTTTGATTTTTTTTTAACATTTTATTATGGGGTCGGCTCGAACCGTTACCTTCGGAGAGAGAGATATGAACCTTACAAGCGTGACTAGAACCACTTGACCCTGAAGGACCAGGTTCTATTAATTTATTTTGATTAATTATTTTATCACAAAAAATTTAATTTAATTTTTTAACTCTTTTTTCTAAAAAATAATCTAAATAAATATATAAATTATCTTTAAAATTTTAATTAAAAATAAAAAAAAATAACAATTATTTTAAAATAAAAAAATAAAAGCACAAAGTTAGTCAAAAAGTTTAAAAATAATTATTCAAAAAATAAACTAAAAAAACTGCACACCAATGATAATTTTATCGCAACAAACATTATGTCGCAACGCTAAGTTGCATATTCGCGTTTTGCTGGAGACCGCCGTCCACTCCACCCAATCGGAACCCCCAAAGAATAGCATATTCCCAATCAGACCCGGTTTCAAAACATCTTTACAAACCCCTACGACTTTTTCCCATCAACCACTCCCATCGCGCCACGTGTGCCCAGCATCCCTCTCGCCGAGATGCTCTAGCCCTTTTTGGACTTTTTTTATTTAAAAAAAATGCACATCAATTTTAATTCTATAAAAAAAAAAATCAGAGTTGTAATTTTAAGTTGGTATATTATTTTAGTTAATTAAAATGTAAAAAAGTTATTTTATTAAATATTAATATTTAAATTTAAAAATTTATTATATATTTTAATATAATAAAATTTTAAATTTAGAGACGGTAACCTCTTTTATTAATATACATATATAAGTGGCGACGCGTCGTGTTTTCTTGCGGATCCTTTGGAAGCATCCTCTGTCGTCAAAACACCTCGGCATCGCCTTCTTCCTCAGCACCCTTCCCAGGTACGCCCATTCTTCTTCTCCGGTTTCTTTCGAATTCTGGTTTTTTGTCCCTTTGGTTCCTGTGAAACTGTGGAGAAAACGGAACAACCACCCCTTGGTGGTTGTTGAATCCTCGGAGGAGGAGGAGGAGGACCACCTGGTGCGGCCGCCGTGCCGGTGTGTCCGGTTCCTTGATGAATGTTCAGCGCTGCCGATTTTGTGGCGGAAAGATTCAATCTTGTTGATTTGTTTAATTGAATTCTGATAATCGAAACGGTTTAGTTTGTTACGGGTGGTATATTTTCTTCTGTAACAATTCGTTATATTCCTTTTTCGTTTCTTGTTTTTATCTGCAAAGTCTCATGTTTGGAGATAATTTTTAAGGTTTCTCATCCGTTGATTCCATTCATGCGTTAAAATTTTTGTGATGTTTGTGATTTTATGTGGAAAAGCAGTTTCGTGTTGAAGTGTACAAATTCAAAAATTTTAGATCTTACAAGGCCTTACTGTGAATCTGTTTGTTCTTCAAGATGTAATCTTTTGACAAGCAAAAATTTCCTTCTTTTTTATATATATTTTATTTTATTTTATTTTTATAAGCCCAGAACTGTACAATTGAATTGATTTTGATGGAGTAACAATTCAACTATTTGGTAGATTTTGTTTTGTTCATGTTGCTAGTTTTGTATTGGATTGCAGATCTGAAAACGTGATCTTCATGAGTTCAAGAATTACTGGAGCATCCACTGTTTCCTGCAAATCGGGAAACAAGACCGCCTTCTTCTGCTGGATCTTGTTCTGCTTGCTTCCAAGGTTTTTGGGAACTCCTATTACATTTGTGAACCTCCTCTTGATTAAGGCTGTTGACAGGAGTCCTGCAGCATTCAACGTCTTGGAAATCAAGATTTAGCCATTAGTGGTTCGTTTTGGCCTTCTGTGCCAGTGCATTCTAGTATTCTGCAAACATGGTTTCCTCTCAGCTATCTGGTTTGACAAATACTCACTCTGGCAAACCATTCCTGGACCAGTTATTAATTCCCTTAACTGTTCCAGAATCTGTTGTTACTGATCAAGTTGAGCTGGATTTCTCTGATGTATTTGGTCCTTTACCAGCTCAGAACACTGCAGAAGCAAGCGGGCATGTTTATGATGATCCAGTTGTTGTTCACAGCCGGTCACATTCTCTGGTTGGTCCCTCATCTGTTAGTCAGTCATTGAAGCTAAGCAGGCTTACTTTGCATGAGACAGAGGATTCACTGGAGCTACTGGAATGCATTGCAGGAGAGACCATCAAAGAAGTTGAGGAGCATTCAAATGAGAGGCACCTCGTAGATGTTAATGTGGATGCCCTGACTGTTAACAGCATATGCATTGAAGATTTTGAAGTTCTGAAGGTTGTTGGGCAGGGTGCGTTTGGAAAAGTATATCAGGTGAGGAAAAAGGGCACATCAGAAATTTATGCCATGAAGGTCATGCGGAAGGACAAGATAGTGGAGAAGAATCATGCTGAATACATGAAGGCTGAGAGGGATATTTTGACAAAAATAGATCACCCCTTCATTGTCCAGCTCAAATACTCATTCCAGGTATCATTTACGAATTTAATTAGTCTTTGGAATTCTAGAATTTCAATTTTTGTGTGTGCTCCATTATCTTTTTTTCTTTATTAGAATTTGTATTTAGAATTCTGATAGACAATTACTATAGGAATGAAAATTTTCTGATCCCCTACTAAAATTATGTTGTTGCTTGCAGACAAAATATAGGCTGTACCTTGTGCTAGATTTCATAAATGGAGGGCACCTTTTCTTTCAACTCTACCACCATGGCCTTTTCAGGTAGATCTCTATATTTCATGGATTTTGTGCTAAAATGCCGGCAACTTGAGGTTGATTAGTGATGTGACTTTGTTTCAGAGAAGATTTGGCACGTATCTATGCTGCTGAGATTGTTTCTGCAGTATCTCACCTCCATGCAAATGGGATAATGCATAGAGATCTTAAACCTGAGAATATTCTCTTGGATGCTGATGGCCATGTACTCTCTCTCTCTCTCTCTCTCTCTCTCTCTCTCGTAGTTTTACATGTTTCCCTTAAATGTGGGACAAATAAAAATTCTTATGTTCTTGCCATGTTTTATTTAGGTAATGTTGACTGACTTTGGCCTGGCCAAAGAATTTGATGAAAATACAAGATCAAACTCAATGTGTGGAACAGTTGAATACATGGCACCTGAAATCATTCTTGGGAAGGGCCATGATAAGGCTGCAGACTGGTGGAGTGTTGGTATTCTATCATATGAAATGCTTACTGGGAAGGTATGATACTTTCACTATGAGTGTTCTTTGCAGTTTTTGTGGCTTTGTTTAAATAATTAGGTTTCTTTGTGTATTAAAGTAAATGGTTGATTTCTACCTGGATCCTTAATATAGAAATGCAATACAGAAATGGTAGTTTTATTCAATATTGGCAAAACCCTCAAATAAATTGAGTAGTATTAACATCTCTCTTTTCCTGACTGTTGTGAAATAGAGTGCTTGATATCACACATCTATGTACTATTCGCCTTTTATAGGGACTGGCAGAATATTTAGGTTATTTAGCATGGATTTTAGAAAATGTCTTAAAACTAGAAGGCAGCTCAGCAAACATCTAGAGAAAACTAAACTATCCTTGCTGCTTTGTTTGAACTAGTGCATGTGGGAAATGGGATTATCTGCAGCTTGGTGGGGTGGCAATCTGTGAGACCTAACTACTACTATCTTTTCTTGTGATTCATACATATACATGTGTTACTTGTGCAGCCTCCTTTTATTGGTGGGAACAGGGACAAGATTCAGCAGAAGATTGTTAAAGATAAGATGAAGCTGCCCGCCTTCTTGTCTAGTGAGGCTCATTCTCTGTTGAAAGGGGTAAATGTTCAAAGCATTTCATCATTTTTGTTAATTAATTGTTTTCGTTGCATTTTATTTATGGCGAAGTGAATAATGATTCAGAAATCTGAGACAACCACATTGCTGTTGTTTTTCAGCTGCTGCAAAAGGATGCCAGCAAGCGCCTTGGCAGTGGAGCTACAGGAAGTGAGGAAATCAAGCGACACAAGTGGTTCAAGCCAATCAACTGGAAGAAATTAGAGGCAATGGAAATCCAACCCAGTTTCCGCCCAGAAGTAGAAGGGAAGCTCTGCATTGCAAACTTTGAGAAACGATGGACTGACATGCCATTATCAGAATCTCCTGCTTCCAGTCCAAAGACCAACACAAATCCCTTCACCAACTTCACTTTTATAAGGCCTGCAGCCTCTTTCCTTCAGAAGAGTTGCCCTTTGTCCTAAAGGATCACACTGCCTTCCATTCATCAAATAGCATGTTTACTGGTTTTAGTTCCTAGGAAACCCCCTAGTTATTATTGTTTAGCCAAATAGTTCTTTTCAGAAACTACTCACTCGAAGAAGGCTTTGTCTATAGAACAGAACTGTTCAATTCTGTACTCTGTTTCAAGTTATCAGTACAAGGCTATAAACTTATGGAACTACATATCCCAAGTTAACGTGTGCATTCTTTACCTTTTTAACTGAATTGATTATTAATGATGATTTATGATAAATCATCATTAATTACATCAACATGATCCTAACAGGTAAGTACATGTTTGGTTGGGGTGTCTTTCTGTATGATTGAAGGCTTTGTATCAGTTTCAGCTCTTTATCCAGGTCCATTCACACGTAGAGAAAGTAACAGTCTCTGCTTACGCTTCAATTAAATTTGTCACAAAGTTAATACCTTTTCTTTCACAAAGAGTTACCCATTAACCAGGAATATGCAATGCATTTTTCAGCAACATCCGGAGAGTTTCTAGACAACCCATCATCTCGATCAGCCATTGCCTCAATTCCCTGTTATTAAATCTGGGGTTTTGCAAGTTCAGAATTTAACCGGGGAATTACCAGAGACGCGGAAATGGGGGTTCGTGATTTTTACGGTACTTGCATGGATTTACTAAACGGCAAGGCCTTTCGTCCCTTTGCAATTGGGTTTTGACAGCTTGGTGGGTAGGAGGAGCCTGAAGAGGACTGATTTCCTTATTGGGATAAACTGGGTGAAGGGTCTTTTCGCGTTGTTTACTCTGGTGAGATTGTTCAAAGAATGTTCATATTCAAGAAACGGTGCAGAAAAGAGGAAAAAGGAAAACTTCAGATTTGGATGGGAGGTTCAAGGAGAAGATCATTCTAAAAAAGGTGATTCATATAGTCCTCTGACTTGACTGATGTTTTTCAAGGATTCCATTCCTTCTAGTTCTTGGATTTATTGGGAATATATATCAATTTGGGTTCTTATCCATTGTTTGTTAATAGTGCCTTATATATCTGCTGCAGACTGCGGTTTTCATAGTTCAAATATTTAACAGGGTTAACCAACAAAAGCTGATCTCATATCTGAGCCTGAACCTGAGCAAAGCAATTAATGCCATGGAATGAATTCAGATGCACTTTGCTCAATGAGTATGTTGCCAATGCATGGGATGAGCAGGTCGATCATCAGGTGATTTTTTTTAATCCATTTTGCTTTTGAATTTCTCGGAGGCTTTATATTCAAAATCCACAATATATCTTCCTATGTTTGCTAGTACAGACAGGTGCAGTGCATTATCATTATGGTCTTCTATATAAAGGAAAGAATAATTTTTTCTGCATACAATATTACACTTCATCATGGTAAAGGAATGTCTCTAGAACATCTTTCTTCTTGCAACGCCAATGACACTTCCAAGAGCATACAGAATTGAAGATGGCAAGTCTAGTGGAATGAAGGGATATGATATTTGATGTTGAAGGAGATTTTGAAAGCACAACTGCATATCCATCGTCCATGTAGTCTGTCCCTTCAGGAAACAGCTGCCACAGAAGACTACCAGCTCCACTCCCTCCTTGCTTGGTTGAGTTCAAAAGTGTGTTGTATACTGTGCTAATAAGTGTGTCCCTGAATGAAGAGTTGTATCCAGGATCTTTTGTAGAAACCCCAAACTCGGAAAACAGAACTGGCATCTTAAGGTACCTCTCTGTGTCTTCTATGTGAGCTTCCATCCATGATTTGGTGAATTGTAGGTGGAAATCGGTGATTGTTTGGGAAATCCTTAAAAAATGAATCAAATCATCCCTCAGTATCTTCATGTGCTTATCAATGTGAAGAAGAAATGTAATGTTGCAGGAAGCATGAGAATCAGGGAAAAGCTTACCAGGAATCTGCATAAATGTGAACAGAAGCAAAATCAACACCAAGAGCCTGATGGTTCCTTATGAAGTCTGTTCCAACCTGTGTAGCATATGAATTCGGATTGTACTGAGCTCTCTTGGGTGCTGATGGACCATAAAATCCTTCCACTCCTATCTCAACCAAGTGCTTCGCATCCATGCTCTTCACATAGACTGCCATTTCTATTATCCAAGACTATATAGAAGACAGTTAACATTTCAACTGCTTCAGGATATAGAATAGTGATCCAGAAAGCAAGCCTTGCAGTTATACAACAAAGCTAATGTCCTGTGTATAACAGTTTTTAGAAGAAAATCAAACCTGCAATTTATCACCAGTGGGATCTGAGGTGCATCGAGGCTCATTCATCAGTTCCCAAGCAAAGATTGTTGGGTCATTCTTGTAAGTTATGTTTGTGAATGTATTCACTCTATTTAGCACCGCCTGCATTGTCAAAATGTTAGCAAAGACACAAAGGGAGCAGAGAACTAATTTCGACAAAAATGGGATGGATTCAGTCAGCAAATAAGTAATCTTGCCTTGACATGAGCCTTGTAATAACTTCTAAGAGTTGGATGGGAGAAAAAGTCATCATCAGAAGTTAAATTGAGTCCTGCATCCTTCCCCCATTTAACATATTGTGATTTTCCACCATACGCATCCCAGTTGTTAACCAATGACAGAATCAGCCTGATCTTGTACTTCCTTGCTTCACTCACTACAAAATCCAAGGCCTGCAATGTTTGGGAAGAAATCACAGTATCTAATGAAACCCCAAATGCTACTTCAAAGCAATTTCTTGGTATAAATTATGGTACCTTGAATACATCTTCATCATAAACTCCAGGAGATTTCTGAAGAGCTCGCCATTGGCCATCGTTGAATGCCCAAGTCCTGCAAACTGTTAGTCCCACAGATGATGCTTGTTGAAATAACTCAGTGACCTTCCCTCTTGTAGAATTATCAGCGGCGAATACCATCAGCCAGTAAGTATTAAATCCATTGACGTAGAATGGCTGGCCATTAACCAAAAACTGGTTCCTGTTCTTCTTCACCATTTGCCAATCTTCCCTCTCTTCAATATTCCTGAACATACATAAAAGCATACATATCAAGAATCCCTGCTACTGGAATACAATGTCTCCACTGCAGAAGCAGAAGCTGCAGGTTTGCACCTTCTGAAATGGACTTTTGAGTTTAATAAAAATTGTCGAGCTTTTAGTTTTATCCATGATCATTCTATATAATTTTGCTGGTATGACATGTTTACCTGTTACCCGTGCCTGGATACAGCAAGTGATTCTCAGCTCCTTCTGTGATCCTTTCAGTCCGTTCTTGCTCAACAAAACCAAATACAAGGATGCCTGGATTTCCAACAAGAATCATGCACAATGTCATTGAGAGAATCATCTGTCTCAGGTAATTACTCATGATGCTTCCACGCTAAGCTGTGCAGTCTGGCATTTCCTAGGACTACAAATTTATACATGTCAGCTCCAATCTCCTTTGGATCCGTAATGTTCTTCCTTAGTGGGTGACACATATCTGAAATTAGGAAACAAGAAGAGTAAGAGTATCGAATAGGGGATGATGTTTTTACCTTTGACGCTAAGAAAATATTCTTGGCTTGGGTTCTGCCACTGTCTTCTCTTTCAACAACAGATAATAGGTAGAAGAGGATGGAGAATTCAAAGAAAGGCAGTATGTTTGTGATGAAATGGAACTAAAAACTATCACTCCTAAGCCAAGTTTAATATGTGGCTCCAAATGTTCCTCAGACAATTAACAAGTTTCAGTTGAGATGTTAATGTCACTGCGTTTGTTAAAGACATGATAGCTTAGAAACTTAAAAATAAAAAAAATAAAAAACTGAATTAATATTAGTCACAAACTTTCTACTCTCCAATTATAGTCTTGAGATCTCTTGCAAACTGTGTGATTGTGTGTGCATGAAAGAAAGTGAGGGTAACCGCGCGCCATACAATTCGTTAAGAAAAGGAGACAAAAAGTTTATGGAGGAAACAGAGATAATTCGTAATTAATGGATGCTAAGGCGAGTACAAGGGAAATGAAAGCAAAACTCATTTGTTGAAGATGAGGATAAGTGGATACATATTAATTCATGAGTCTCTTTGAATGAATAAAAAATAAAATAAAAATTGTCGTCTCATATCACGAGAATTTGTTGTTAGCAAATTAGAGAAGTGCCTGCAACTCCTCCGTCACCCTTTCTCCAAATTCTCTTTTTACTTTGTTGGTTCTTATTCAATCAAGGGAACTAAGAATCTCTTGATTTCCAGCAAAAACTTGCTTTTAGTCTCTCAACTTGTCAAATTTAAAAGTTTTAGCTCTTTACTTTATATTATCACATTTTTTAATCTCTTATCTTACTTGGTTTATAAGTTTTAACATATCACTTTATATTATGACACTTTTAACCCATCATCTATTAAAATTAAAAAAAAAAAAACTCTCACTTTGCAACATTTTATTAGTTCTGTTAACTGATTGTTAGTTGTTAAAAACCATTTTTTAGTTAACAGAATTAATAGAAGTAACTTTATAATATTTTGTTAATTCTGTTAATTGGTTATTAGTTGATTGTTAGTTGATAAAAATCTACTTTCAGTTAACAAAATTAACAGTCAGTATAAAATGAAAGCTATTTCTTCGATTTTAATAAGTGAGGGGTTAAAATCTACAACTCTAGTAAGGTAAGAGGTGAAAAGTGTTATTATATAAAGTAAAGAGTTAAAACCTTCAAATTTGATAATATGAGGGGCTCAAAGTAGGTTTTTGCCTTTGATTTTCTTCCCTTCATTTTCATTCCATGCGATATGACGAGAAGCAGACGTAAGACATCATACCAATAGACTATCAAGTTGGCAGGCTCAATAAAAGGCAATAACGGAGGTAGACCACGATAAGTACCTTGGCCCCGAGAGCTCATATTGTATTTGGGCCCAGGGACGGAGCTAATGTAGGACAAGGGGGGGCAGCCGCCCCCCTAAGCTTTTGAAAAAAATTCAAATATGGTATATTAATTTTTATTTTTTTTACAAATTTTTTTTTTTGAGTTTTTGAATTATTAGAATCATTTCAAATATAAAGAAAATATTTAGGATTTAGGTAAAGGAATCATTTCTCTTTGTGATTAATTTTTAAGATAAGATAATTTGGTCTAAGTAAGAAAAGATATTAAAAATAGTCAAGATCTAATTAATTACATTGATATAATTTATATAAATTTTTATATTAGTTATATATAATTTTTTTTGTACAATTTATATTCTATAAAAATAATGGTTAAATTTACTTTATTCATATA